CTTGTATGTATGTGTATATATATATGTATGTATGTATGTGTGTGTGTATACACATATATATATATATACACACACACGCGTGCACACACACATACACTCACACAGTGGTGTATTTTAATTTTATGCTGCCCTAGACATGACTATAGAGCACCCCCTAATCTAAATTTACCACTCCTTCATGTCAAGGGTGCACCGCTTCTTGATTAAGAACCCACCCCTTCCTCTTTAGACTCCACCTTTTCCTGCTCCTTTTAAAGAAATACTATAGTGCCAGGAAAACAAAGTTGTTTTCCTGGCACTATAATTCCATATAGTGCCCCCCTCCTCTCATGTCCTCCCCTCCCCCACTCGACACTGGAGGGGTTAAAATCCTATGGGTATTTAGCAGATGCTGGATGTCCTCATGCACAGGGTGAGGGCGTCCAGCATCAGTTAGGTGACTTTTGGTCACCTAACCACCCGAAAGTCCCTCTAGTGGCTGTCTGATAGACAGCCACTAGACTTGGAGTTACCCCTCAGGTAATTATTGCAGTTTCTGAGAAGGTTTAAGGGGACTGGGACACTGCACCCAGACCACTTCAAGGAGCTGAAGTAGTCTGGGTGCCTATAGTGTCCCTTTAAGCACACTCTCTGACAGACACCCACACTGGCAGATACACACTATAAGTAACACACACATTCAATAACAAACACACAGACGTCACTGATTTGACACACACATTCACTGACACACACTCATTCATTGACAGAGAGACACACACTAAACAGACATCCACACACACTCCACACAACAGCACATCCACATACACTCCACACATCAAACAACAACACATGACATCCACAGACATCCACACATCCACAGACATCCACACATCACAGACATCCACACATCCAGACATCCACAGACATCCACACAGACATCCACACAGACATCCACACATCCACAGAGATCCACACATCCACAAACAGACATCCACACATCCACAAACAGACATCCACAATCCACAAACAGACATCCACAAACAGACATCCACAAGCCACAAACAGACATCCACAAACAGACATCCACACATCCACAAACAGACATCCACAAACAGACATCCACACATCCACAAACAGACATCCACACATCCACAAACAGACATCCACATATCCACAAACAGACATCCACACATACACACAAACAGACATCCACACATCCACAAACAGACATCCACACATCCACACATCCACACAACAGACATCCACACATCCACAAACAGACATCCACACATCCACAAACAGACATCCACACATCCACAAACAGACATCCACAACACATCCACAAACAGACATCACACAACAAACACACATCCACAAACAGACATCCACACATCCACAAACAGACATCCACACATCCACAAACAGACATCCACACACAGACATCCACACATCCACAGACATCCACAAACAGACATCCACAACAGACATCCACAAACAGACATCCACACACAGACATCCACACATCCACACACAGACATCCACACACAGACATCCACACACAGACATCCACACATCCACACACAGACTTCCATATATACAAATTAATAATTTTATTAACTAATTAACATATCCCACCCACCCAGCATCCCTACCTTTCCCTGGGGTCCAGTGGGGCTGCAGTGAGGACGGCTCTCTCCCTGTCACACGCGGAGAGGGAGCTGTGTGCTCTCTGCTCCCTCTCGCCGCGCGGGATGTTTGCTGATGCTGGGAGCCGGAATATGACGTCATCAACCCGGCTCCCGGCATCAGCAGACATCCCGCGCGGCGAGAGGGAGCAGAGAGCACATAGCTCCCTCTCCGCGTGTGACAGGGAGAGAGCCGTTCGCCAGGTGGCCCCCCATGACAGGGGGAACACAGGGCATTTGGGGGCGGCATTTTTTGCCGCCCCCTGAGTGCCTGCAGGGGGAACGGCGTTCCTGCTGTGAAAAAAGTGCAGGAACGCCGTTCCCATGCGTTCCTGCAGGACTCGAGCCCTGGTGTAAGTGCTGTTTGTGCATGAAAAATGCAAAAAACTTCACTTTTACTGGCGATATCATCGTTGTAATACATTTCACTGTTTTGAAACACTAATATTTGTGTTCAGCGAAGTCTCCCCAGTAGAACAGTACCCCCCCATGTACAGGTTTTATGGTGTCTTGGAAAGTTATAGGGTTAAATATAGTGCTAGCAAATTAAATTCCCTTTACTTTCGGCATGGGTTGTCAGGCAGGTCCCGCTAATTGTAATTAATTAAAATACCTAATTATGTAAAAATATTACATAAATATATATGTAGAATTAATATATGTATATATATACATATGTGTATTTATATGTATTAATATATATATAATTTTAAAAAAATATTTTTATTTATATATAGGTATATATATAGTGATATATACGTATATATTTATGTATATAGATTTTTATTATTTTGTTCTATGTGTATTTTGATATAAATATATATATATATTAATATCACAATACAGTTAGAATGAAATAACACACATCTATATATTTTTTAATTATTTATTTTTAATTATTTTTTTATTTTATTTTTTAACGTATTTACATTTTTTTTTACACTGATTTTAACTTTCTTTTATTTGAATTCAGCCAGCAGGGAGACTAACTGTCATTACAGGCAGTCCCCCTGCTGGCAATGCAGCAGCCAGCTAACCCGGCCAGGTGATTGTGATGTCCTCGCAAGGACCTCACTCTCACATGGCTGGGGGGGGGGGCGGAGGAGGCAGGATCCGCTGCGGGGGACTCCCTGGGATCCCAGGTGAGTCTCCCCAACCGCGATCGCCGGCATGGGATCGCCGGCGACCGGGTAAGTAAAAAAAAAACAGAGGGTGTACTATTACGCCCTGCGGCGTATCGAGCCGCTTAGAATAGGGCGTAATAGTACGCCCTCCGGTTTTAAGGGGTTAATGGGGGTTTGGGTAAGGTTAGCGCATATGCGGGCAAATCCGACTGTGCACCTGTCATGTTCCTCACAGTGGTTTAGGACAAATTTCTATTTTGGCCTAAAACTTTCATTTTGGTTGTCAGATTTTTGGGCAAGGCCCTGTTCTCCTATTGATTCAGTATGCCAATCATGTTTTGTTAGAATTTTAGTTTTGGTATGTTTGCCAATTGTACAACGCTGTGGAATATGTTGGCGCTACATAAATAATTGTAATTCTAGTTGTCAGCTGAGTACATCTTGCTGTTCAATGAACAGAAACCCTTTTCCTCTATAAGCAGTCTGTCCTAGGTAAAGTGGAATCTATTTAATCTGCCCCCCGCCCGAACACAGTGACAAATAAATAGCACAAATTGTAACAGTTACTAAAACATAACAAAACAAAAACAAGTAGCAAGAGACAACAGCTCAATTAGCCTGACCTTCGGTGTGTCCCCTCTCAGATCGCAAGCTGGTTTCAGCTCTGCTAGTGCCATTACAGAGGGAACATATCAGACTGGTCCCACCTGTACGGGCAGTCCAGATCCGAAATGCCAGCAAGTTCCCACTTGTTGTCCGTTCTCACCTCTCTTGCTATTTGTTTTTCTCTGTTACTAAAATGTAAATAATCCAGAATATTCTTTTCTTCTAGTTCTGCAACACATCAGAAGGAATTTATTTAAAGCAACATTACATTGGATAATGTAACTATATATTAGAAATGATGCATTTAAACGTGTGAATACAGTAAAACAAATTAAACATCTTTGGAAATATTCTGGTTCTGGGACTTCATCTTCTAGAAATGACTGAGGTGTAACCCCTGAGCTCCTGTTAATTTCTGGAAAGGAATATTGCGATAACATTCAGAAGAATTAAAATAGAATGGGATTAGGTGGGATCCCAAACAGCGAACACGGCAAAAATAACTAAAAATTGCAGAAGTTGTGATGAGACAGGTCGTCTGGAATCCGAGTGGGACTACGCATGTGCAGATCTCTGATTAGGCATTCACATGGAATGCCTGGAAATTCTCTAAGTCAGCTCATAAAGACTGCAGATAAGAGATTGGGGTTATATTTACTAAACAGTGATATGTATTTATGTATTTGGGCAGTCGAGTGTCCCTTTAATTTATATTAAAGGACCACTATAGTCACCCAGACCACTTCAGCTCAATGAAGTGGTCTGGGTGCCAGGTCCCCCAGGTTTAAACTGCTATGTTTACATTGCAGGGTTAATCAAGCCGCTAGTGACTGTCTCCCTGACAGCCGCTAGAGGCGCTTCTGCGACATTAAATGCGAAAATCGCATTGAGCACGGAGAATGTCCAAAGCAAAGCATTGAGTAATGCTTTCCTATGGGCTGTTTGAATGCGCACGCTGTCGTCAGAGGGAGAGGAGAGGACATCAGCGCAGAGGGAGCACGACGCTGGTTAAGGGTAAGTGGCTGGGGGGGTTTTAACCCCTTCAGCCCAGTGGGAGGGGGGCCCTGAGGGTGGGGGTTTATAGTAAACTTGTCAGATGATAGAGGGGTTTATCGTGCCCATAGTAAGTTGCTTTGATTTCCCATGTAGTAAGGAAATGTACTTTACAAAACACGAAAAAGGCACCTGCAACTGATTCTTTTTAGTCATTCTAACATGCAGTTCCAGATATTACCAAAAGGTGGCGTATGTGTCTGTCATCTGCTGTGTTCTTGTTTGAAATATTTATTACAAGCACATAAGGTAATTGTAAGATGTAGGCACTAACATATTCTGCAGCGATGTACAGTAGAAAGAGGAGGGATCAGTGACAGTGACCCACATGTGACAGTGGCCCTGCCTAGCGTGGCTTGATTGTTTGTGGAATACGTCCAGATCTGTGTTTGGCTGCTCCCCTTGCGCATTCTAACACAGAACAAAGTAAAATAAAACAAACCCAGATCTGTATTTTTTACAGATAAGTCTAAATATTACATTTGTTTTTTCTGAAACCATAATTCATTTTCCTTTCTCTCTAACTTTTACAGGTGACGGGCAGCAGAACATGCGCATTATAGGAGGATACATTGTGTCGCCATATTCCACGCGCTATCTGGTGTCTTTGAAGAGAATTAGTGGGCTGCATTTTTGTGGCGGGTCTCTGATCAGCAGGTTCTGGGTGCTCACAGCCGCTCACTGCAAAATCGAGTAAGAAAACAATGGTTTCTCATTAGGGCTGTTCTTTAAACTCTGAATTGTTGGGGATTAAAAGGGACTTTTAACGTGTAGACCAAACCAGCCAAATTAGAAACATGCATTCCATTTGGGTATTTTGGCATTAAATGTAAAATTCCTGATAATTCACACCTTGTCGAATAACAATTATAAATATGATAACCAGGATCATGGAGGTGATAGATTAGAGGTTAGATTGGACCATGGCATTCTACCAACCTTTCTGTTAATATCGGTACAGGCAGAGCCAGATGCTGGTTGTTGCTGGGGAGTACTCTCTGTCTACGTTTGAAGGTACAGAGCAGGTATTTCGCCCCGTCAAGCTGGTTGCGCACCCAGAATACAGCCCATCTTCAAAGAATGGCGATATAATGTTAATCAAGGTAAGGCATCAGGAGCGTTTCATTCAAAGAAAATTCAAAGTGAATTTAGAATATAAGGCCGAAATGGTAGCAGAGCTTGAATTTTCCCCTTTCATCGTGTTTTTTAATGCTGAATGAGAGTCCGCAGCACTCCATCCCCTCTGTGATGCTTGGGTTAAAGAGGAAAAATTAGCTTGAGCAGTAATGTTGAGTTTTTAGAATATTTTTACTCCTTACCTGGGGTCCTCAAGGCACCACTTCCCATCTCCACTGCAGCTTAGTGCATGCAAGGCTTAGCTCGTTGGCTGAGAGTGTCAGCAAATGCACTAGCCCTGCACTAAATGGCTTAGCCCAGGATAGCTAAATGCTTACAATTGGGGGAGGAGGGGAGCACCACGACACACCTGGCACCATAACCACTACAGTGTGATACTCAGTATATAGCTCAGAGCAATGCCCGATGTAACTTCCAGTGTAACGCTCTGTTTAATGCTCTGCATAAAGCTCAGTGTAACTCTCTGTTTAACGCTCAGTGTAACGCTCTGTTTAACGCTCAGTGTAACGCTCTCCATCAAACTGAGATCAATAACTGTCTTTCTGTCTTACAGCTGAACCGACCTGCTGTGTACAACTCCTTTGTGTCTATAGTGCCTCTGCCAGTCCAAGGGGTGGCACCAAGTGAAGGGCGCCTGTGTCAGGTGTCCGGTTGGGGATACACTAGCACAATTGGGGGGAAGGCGTCCGATACCCTGCGCAGTGTAAAGCTGCCCATAGTCTCCATGAAGAGATGTAATAGTTCAACTTCCTATGCTGGACACATCACAAATAACATGATCTGTGCGGGCTTCAATACCGGAGGGAAGGACGCATGCCAGGTTAGTGACAGAACAATACAGGAAAAATGAAAGAGAAAATAGAAAACATTCAAGCCTAGAAAATAAAAAATGAAGATACAGAAAGTGTTTGTACGTTTCATTAATACTCCAAGCACCATAACCACTACATTGCACTGCAGTGTTTATGGTGACCGGAGCGGTAAGTTATCACTTAGCACCTTCTCTTGATATTATGACACACATTATAGCTGGAATCACGTGAAATGTATACTGAATGTTAATTCCAGCACACACTTAAAATTAGGCTAGATGTTAATTCTAACCCACAAAATGATTTTTTTCTTACATCTTCATATTTGTATTTTGGTTTTATCTTATTTTTTTCTCCAATAAAATAAATAATCATGCTTCCTCTTTAACTAAATCAAACTGAAAGAAAGATAATGCTCCCGTTACAAACCCTGTAATAATCTTGATATTTTCCATCAAGTTCCCAGATGACGCTATGAGAACGCAATGAATAACCCGGTAACAACACGCTCCAGGTGTAATTAATCAGTGTTTTATCTAACAGCTGAGCGTACATTTGTATGTGTTGGCGTCATTGTCAGTGCGCACACAGAATGTAAATGATGCAAGCTGGATCCTTTATCGCTTGTGAGCGCAGGTTGTTTTCAGATAACAGGTAAAGACAAACAGTGGAACGAATTCCAAGGGCTTTATTCACTAAACTGTGAGTTGCTGTGGGGCGACAATCACTCCGTACAAGTAATCAACTTAGAATAACCAACACAAGCAATTTTAGCTGGTTTTCTTCCCAAACCTGGTTATAAACAGCTGCATTTTGTTTGGCATTGTGTTGTAAACCCCGCTCTCTCTAGTCCAGTGCGGTTCTTACCCAGATGAAGAAACCATTTTGCCAGTTGTGACTCCAGCAAGTTCCTATATTAGGCATTTGACTATTTCACTTACTGCATGTGACTAAAATGAAATTTCTGCTAATTCAAGATCCTTGCTTTAAAATCCAGTTTTAGTTGACACAATGTCTGGCTGATTTTGCACTGTAAGCCTTTCTACAATTTATCCTGCTCTCTTTAACCTTAGGGGGACTCTGGAGGCCCGCTAGTGTGTGATGGAAGAGTTTTTGGGATTGTGTCTTGGGGACATAGCTGTGCCAATCCCAGATATCCAGGCGTATACACAGCCGTATCAAACTTTCAGAAGTGGATTTACAGAACAATCTTTTAAGAAGACTTAGACATGTTCCCCGTTCTCCCTCTGATGCCCAATCATCACTACGTTATTTTTGTCAAGCACTACATGGGCATGACGAAAGACTTACAACTAAAGGGGAAAATTCAATACGATCCATCTGGCACTGGAAGAGTTAACATATTCACTTAATTTGTGTGACCATAATGCTTGGTTAAACACCAATAACTGAAATTCTATAACCAAGGACGTATGTATATATTATTTTATTCTTTTCACGTTTATAATTAATTCTTCCACAATAACCAGAATCCTTCCAAATGATTTTACAATATTTTGTTAATCCAATCCGCAGAATTCCGGTGTCTGTACCCGACGGCGACAGCACTTGGCACAGAAATGTTATGTATCTTGTTTTTTTAATAAAAAACGCATGATGTAATGCTGCTAAAATAATCAAACCACCGTGTTTATTATGGCCAACTGATTATCTTTATAATGAGACGTCACAGGGATGACGTGGCCCCGTTTTTAATGCAATCTATAGATATTGCTTTAAAATAGGCCAACAAAAATAATTAATAAATGAAAAATATACTCACCTTAACAGTTCCTGTTACTATTTACTAATACACTACAGATAGATACATCAGGCAAACCAAACCAGGAAGAATCTAAACCAATCAGAAGATCACACAAGATGGATGGATCTGCGGAATAAGCTTAGAACACCAGACAATTTATTGCCTGTTCAATCTTTTTTGTGAATGGGCTGTGTGCAGGTAGGTAGACATGTGGTGAGATTCCGTCCGGTCTGGGCAGGATGCTTGCGGACAATTGATGGATGGCAAAGGAGGAAGGAAATTCAACTTCTGAAATCGCTGATCCAGGGGGCAATTTTATATAATAGAGCAATTCACATAAAATCACCGCTATTACAAGCCAGACAGTGTAGGGAGCCTGGGCACAGGGACCTCTACCTGCTGTAACCTAAAACATCAGTTATTACGGTGCTTTACTAAGTCAGCATAGAGAGAGGAGGAAAACA